CCAAAACTATGTTCGGGCGAAGATTTCTCTGGAGAAGGCTCCTTGGACCTCAGCATAGCTCCCCAAGGGATTGACATTTTGGATGTGTAGTCGGGCTCTTACTTGCTGATGTGCTACAAGAAAAGGACAAAGTTAGTTTTGAAGGGTGCCTTTGTGGGGCCTTAGGTGTAGGCCTTGAGGTTCGCAACCAAAACTAACTAAGTGCTAGGTGTCATTGCTATCTGAGTATAGCAGATGTAGAACAAGTGTGTTTAGTCAATTACTTGCGCCCCAAGTTACTCGGACTTATTGTTATCAAATGATTGTCGTGGATGTGTTAAGTCCACATTAAGTTCTTTTTCTTGCCTTGTACACAAGAACTTTTAGTTCATAGTCTTGTATTTTCAAATGAAGGGAGTCCAGAGCCCTTTAAGCCATTTACTTAGTTGTTCTTGGTTGATTTTAATGATAACATATCCATTAAACTAACCAGATCCATATGCAAATGGAACTCTTAAAGTAGGAAAACTAATGGAAATAACTTGAATACATACTGGAGAATGCATTAAGTAATAGATCTACAAATTTAGAAAACAAACAAAGTGCCTCGGGCAAGATTTCACCTTGTCTGGCAAGGTCGAACCTCTTGTAATCGCTTCTCTTTGAACTAACAGTGGTTTGTACCCTAAAAAGGGATGGATGGTAAACAAGTTTACACAAGGGAATCGATACTATGCCACTAAGGGAGGTAGCAGAGCTTTAAACTGGACAAGAGATAGCTTGTCACTAAAAATGACTGAATCTGGGTTGATTTCAGCTTTTGGATGCAAATCTGGCTTGAGAGCAGAGTTTGTATGTTTGTCTGTTTGATCGGTTGAGTGTCCTTGTCTCTCTCTTCTTCCTTTTATAGGCAAATTAGCCTGACTGCTGTAACTTTGTTCCGTCCGAAAACACTTGGAGGGTAGTGAGTCATCAGCTGTTTACTAAGAATGCCATTAGAAAGTGTTCTTTGACTGGTAGTAGGTTAGTCTCCATCACTTGTCACTTCAATGGTAAGCACGTGTCCTGTATCTTGGCTGATAAGGCTTCAATCTGCCTTTGGGCTTGATGCTGGGTTTCAAGCAAGTCTCCTTTAATTTGGCACCCTTGGACTTTCCTTCATCCAAGTCTAATGTTCAAATATTAACCCAAACACCTTCCTACTCCCCCACTTCTAACAAGGACTTGGGTTCTTTCTCTCTCCAGTCCCTCTTGCTCAGACCAGCTACCTCTAACTAGTACACTGCTACAACTTCTTTGCTTAGCTATTGCCTATTGGGTTTTCTCAAATTTATTTTATTTTTCGTTTAATGGATATTCTTTTTCGTTTTACGTGTTTCCGTGGATTGGTTTGTGGTTTGTATGGTTACATGATGGGAAATGGGCGTGATTCGTTTGTTGTTTGTTTGGTTGTCGGGAAAGTTTGGAGAGAAGAGCAATTGAAATTGTTGTTATGGGGTTGAACTGGGTAGAGGAAAAAGGTTAGGAAAGATCATTTGTCTCCTGTTTCCTGAGAAATGAACCTTTTTTTTGTTCTCCAAATTCATATTTTTGTAAACGATTTTTATGTTACTAATTGCTAAGGAGAGAGCTTGAGTGGAAAGCATGACAGCCGAACAAAGTTTGTTTGCCTAGTTCTAGTGGTATAGCACATAAAGCATGAATTTTTTGTTGCCTTGTTATTTTACTGATTTGCAAGCGGGATCTTATGTTTTTCGAGAGCATCAAAGGTTTATCAGGTTTATTAGAGCACTGGTTGGGATTATCCAATTTTTTTTATGGGATTTCTTAGGTGAAAAAGTTTGTTTCGATGTTTTGAAATCTGAACAATATCCTCGGTAATGAATGTACTGTGTAAATGCATTGTATTTTTGAAATTACTAATCCAAATGTGTTGAGTTTAATGCACTATTCTAAAAATCCCTGCCTAGCACCGTCTAGGCGCTAGGCGGTTGGTCACCACCCTGATTAATACCTAGGCATTTGAAAATTAAGAAAAGGGCACCTAGACCTACTAAGGCACCCGCCTAGACCGCCTAGGCACCCGCCTAGTCCACCCAGACCCGTCTAAGTTGCGACTCACTTAGAAAGAAAATAGATAACTTTCATTTTGCATTTTATTTTTTCAATAAATTGTAAGAGATTTGTTAAATACTTAAAGGAACACACATTATATACTTGTTCTCCATGTTTTCATTATGTTCCAATAGCTCATAATATATATGTCATTCAATTTTGTATTTTATGATGAAATGATATATATTTTTAAGTATAAACAGACATTTATTTACACAAAATAAAATAGATTTAATTAAATCCGCCTAGTCCACCTAGGCGCCCGCCTAGACCCCGCCTAGCCGCTTAGGCGCTAGACCCCAGCCCGCCACCCGATTAGCGTCTAGCGTCTAGCGTCTTTTAGAACCTTGATTTAATGTCCTAATTTCTTGAGCATGTTTTCTGTTGGAGGAATGAATTACGAGTTACTATGCTTTGACCAAAGTCATCTCACATTAATCAAATCCGGTTAGCAATCTTAGTTGTCCGACATAATAATTCCCTTGTTACATGATCTGCGTAAAAATAGGTGGCTTGGATTAATTGGGCAGTTCCGCCCGAAGAAACTCTTTTCTTCTATTAAAGCTGAATTTACCAATGATGAGATGGGGGTCCCTACATTCAAAGATGTGGCGAAGCATGTCTTGGACAAGTCACTTTATTCGTATGGATTTTGGCACACAGCTTCTCTTCTTCTGTCTCCATCATCATCCATAAAGTTGAGCACAGAAGGGCATGGTGAGAAAAAAAGACGCCCCAACAAATTGATGCTCTTTCATAAGGCACGCATTTACTTTCCTGTTTTGACCTTTAATCAAATTGTTTGTGAAGCTAGTTTGAGGGATAATTTGTTTACTGATTGGAGTTGTTAGGTTTAAAGTTCTTTTTTGGGTTTGTTCATGCCAGGTTGTAGTATCATCCAACTGCGATTTTTTTTTCTTTCATATGACAAATTTCAATTATAGGAATTGAAGTTAAAAATAAGTAATTATAGGGATGTATCACTTGAACTTTACCAGATTCTGTCAGCATGTATAATCTTAAAGTATTGTTTCCTAATTTCTTAATTGTTGAAAAGTAGGGCCTTGTTTGGTCACTAGGATTGGAATGGAATGGACAAACTACTATATTCAGGGTATATTAAAGATAGAGGTGAATGATTTTTCATATTGAGGTGATTAGAAGGGGGATATGGAAAATAATCCATCTCCTACCTTCAAGTAAGCCACAATTTTTTCATTTCTTTCATCAACATACCTTGAATATAGTGGGTTGTCCATTTCAATCCAATCTTAGAGACCAAATGAGACCACAATTTTTTCATTTCTTTCCTGAACATACCTTGGATATAGGTTTATATATATATCAATATGCTTCAAACATCTTAATTTACAAGTTTCTTCTGTTTACCACTTTATTTATAGTTTACATGACTTGATAACATCGCACATATGCACTGCACGGAACATAGATAAAATTGGAAAGTTTCATGTCTATAAATTAAGAGCCATGTACTGAAAAGGTTAATATCTGTACCTTTAACATTGCACATGTGCTGCCTAAGCTGTTTTAGTGAAAAAGTTCATGTCTGTACCTTTATTTCATTTATTTATCTTCCTGTTTAAATTATGAGCCATGCAGTGGCGAAGCCAGGAATTGACGGGAGGAGGGGCGAAGTTATAAGCCAGGACTTCTTATATTTGAAGGAGGAGGAGGATGACTACTTGGAATATTTGAAGGAGAAGGACTACCCGAAATGTTTGAAGGAGGATTTAAGCATTGTTTCTTATAGTACCGTTCCATTACGTAACTGTAAAATGGAAAGAGAAAAAAATCTTAGACTCTTAATCCTAGAGTAGACTATACTAATATACATAATAACCCAACCAACAATTCAATTAATCAATACCAATAAGCATATAAATTATTAAATAAATAAAAAATTCATTCAACTAATCATATGAATACAACTAATCAAAAATTCAAATTTTAATTTTCACCCTAAAAAATAATTTCATAATTTCATATCAATCAATAATCATAGAATCATATCAATAATCAATAATCAATAACCATATTAGTGCATTACCATATGATTCTATACTAATTAAACAAAATTCGTATTAAATAATTAATTAGGGTTAGGGATTATAAATTTAGGAATTAAAAAATTTACCTTTGAAATTGAAGGCTAGAAGTCGGCTTAGCGGCTGGAGTGGCTAGTGTTAGCAGCAAAAAGCCAACAGAAATCAGCCAATGGGGATTTATTTTCCGTTCCGTTGGGGTTGGGCGTTGGCTGCAGGCTCAGGCTGTTGAGATTTTGGGAGAAGCTTTGCACTCTCTCTCTCTCTGATTGGGGAAGGGAGAAATTTGGAATGGTAAAGCATGACACGCGGGCTGACTAAGTGAAGGAATGGGGGACATGCCACGCGGTCCCCCCAATACATATATATTTTTTTGGTTTTTTTCAAACATTGAAAGTTTCACGTGGAGGGGCACTAATTTGAAACAGGTGGAGGGGCACTAATTTGAAACAGACATGAGACATGGAGGGGCCTAACTTTGGGACATGCGGGCCAGATTTTAAATTTTTTATTAATTTAAAAGGAAAAAAAAAGAACCCAATGCTGCTGCACGCAGCAGCAAAACCAGTTCACCGGTGCCAAAACAGAGATGGAGGGGCTGGGTTTTCCGGTGAGGGGAGGGGCGAAACCTCGGCTTCAGCTGTGTTTTCCGGCGAGGGGAGGGGCGGTCGCCACTCCTCGTCCTCAAGTGGCTTCGCCACTGGAGCCATGTATTAAATTTTCTCAACCTTTAAGATGTTTGCAGCTTCCTTACCATGGTATTACACTTGAGGCTGCATGGCCTGAACTGTTCGTTGACCATAAAGGAAAATACTGGGATGTGCCTGAGTCAGTTTCCTTGATATGTCATCACTTGTCTTCGAATCTGGATTGAGGTACCGCATTGGTGTACATAAAAACAGTGGTCATCCCCAGGCAGTTAATTCCATAGATGATGAGGCACCTACTTCTCTAATGCCTGGATTCTGCACAAAGGCTGCCTTTTCTTATGAAAAAGGCCAATATCTTTGGAGGCAAAATGAGACACGAAAAGACATCATGATACAGAAAGAAAAAGGTTGGTTTTGGCGGCCATCTTATGATGTGCGTCTTAAAGAACCTCATTCTTCAGTATTTGGAATTTTTTGTAATTTTACACATTACTCATATTTTCTGTGATAACTTGTATTATTTCATTACATTTTTGTTGGAAGTTTCATACCAATACTCAGGTTTTGGTACCTTTGCCTGTTTTTATACATGTATACGTGTTTTGGTACCTCTTAGTTTTATTTATATTTTATGTGTGTAGTTTTCTACTTTAGTATATTAAAAGCCAGGAGACTTAAGGAGTACACCTCCTTTCATGGTGTTCCGTGGTGGTAGGTGTTACTGCAGTAAAAGAAAATAATAGTAATAAAAAATAATTCTAGAGACAATTTCTAACAGAACAATTCAATATTTTTATTTTGTGTTTATGAGTCCAGATAGAGGTCGCACTTGGTGCGATGACAAGTGCCTTCGCTCATGAGAGGTAGGTCTCGGGTTCGAGACTTGGGAACAGCCTCTCCATAAATGGGGGTAAGGCTAACCGACATTCACCTCTCCCAGACCCTGCGTAAAGCGGGAGCCTTGTGCACTGGGTACGACCTTTTATGAGTCCAGATCCGTTGCCGACTGTATGCAGTATCTTTAGGTTTTTACCTTAACTATTTCCTGATGTTTGCCCCAGGGAAGGCCAGATACGAAATTCAATAATTGTCAAAATTAATCATTGTTAGTGCTATAGTTCCCTTTTGTTTGCAAAATGAAATTGTAATGCCATTCTCACTTTGTCTGGTCAATGGTGTTGTGCCTTGGCCCGTTCATTAGTGCGGAAACAAGATTCAGATTACAACCTCACTAAATCACACTCAGTTGAACATAATAAAATACAAGAAATAAAGACATTAAGAAATTTATGAGGTTCGGCAAAAACATGCCTACGTCCCTGGAAAGATATTGCTCTTCACTATGAATAACAGTACAAGTACACATGAGTTAAATCAACATAACTCAATCCCAAATTCCTTGCACACCCACTCATAGAATTTTTCCAAGAGCCTCACTCTACCCCAAGAGTTCTTTCACTAGAATACTTTTCACTCTAGCTCTCTTGATTTTCTCTCAACCCATTTCAACCTTTCCCATGGGAGAGCCGGATGCTCTCCCCTTGGATGCTTCTATGATGCTTACCTTCCCACTTTCTAAACATTACTAAATGCACAAATATTGCATATAGTTATAGGCATACACTAGCAACTATGCCAACAACCAAGACCAAAAAGTCTTAAGTTCACATGACATAGTTATCACCTAGCCTACCTAGCATGCACCAAAGTCTATACCTAGTTTATAAAGTATAACTTTGCTTGTGGTAGTCACCATGTCTTCAATTGTTGTCAACACATGACTCATAATTACTCACAAATGTATGAGCCAAACACAACAAATGGCATTACATTTTAGGTGGAAGCTGCACTGCCTGGTTTCAGGATGGATACAACCCAGTGGCAGTTGATATAAGGGGAGACGAGGGCAATTCTAGGAGCAATAAGAAGAGAAGTCCATTCCGTGCTGATTTTTTTGGCTCTCTCTGCTATACTTTGCAGCACGGAAAATTTAGAGAGCTCTACGGTGATCTGACCAGGATTGATGCTCGCCTGGATATTTGTTCAGCTTCAGCTTTGGCTAAAAGGGTGATTAATGGTTTGAAGAGTTCCTCTGCTAATAGTTCAAAAGATCCGATGTCCTCCCCTAGGGGTCAATCTAATCTTTCAGCAGCAGGTATTTCTATTAATACCTTATCTTTTTAAATGTTTCGCACCTTAAGTCGTAAGAGAATTTTTTAAATGCAGTTATGAAAAATGTGTTACAAAACCTGCATAGTCATTTGCTAATTGGTACTTGTGGAAACGTGTCTACCCTCTCTGATTTCGATAATCTGCAGTCATTTTTCTGCTGATGTATCTGTACGTTGTTTTACTGCTCATGTGTTTTAATGTACGACTATTAGATCAGCGTAGAACTTTAAAATGAGAGGATGAAAAGCTGAGCTCCTTTATATGTGTGGCTGGGGTGAATGTTTTGGTTGCTGGGATGAAAATCCAATTGTTATTGACACATTACCTTTCCTTCGTAGATTTATGGGCCAATTGTCTTTAGAGCAGATTCCAGGGTTGCACTTGACTGTTTGCGCGGGAAACATGCCCCTCATATTGAGGATTTCATATACAGCTTGAGCTACTCCTTGAGACTTTTACGATCAGGGAAGGTCGTTGCTTGGTATTCCCCAAAAAGAAAAGAAGGGATGATTGAGTTACGCTTGTTTGAGTTTTAACTCCCGATTTTCATTTACATGTTGGAAATATATATGTTTTGATGTGTATCGCATTTAGGTAATATAGCTAGACAGTAGAAGCGAGAAGGCTTCTGGTTCAGAATGTGGTTACAATGATTTTGAGTAATACTGTTTTTATTGATCGAAGGGAACAGATTGTCGTCTGCAAGCAAATAGTAATTCTGTGTTTATTGATCAAACAAAATACAAAGGAAAAGTTAGTTTTACATAAGAAATATTACTAACTTGACATGCCAATGCTGCTCAGTATGCTTCTTTCTGATCCGACACAATTGTGTCGCGTCACTAGTGTCCAGCCTCAACAGTTTCTAAAATCGAAACAATGATTTCTTCAAATTATATGCCAATGCTGGTGATATCCTCGTTATTGTGATGACTAGCATTCATCTGATCACCCTCAACAGTTTCTTGAACAAGAGAGGGATCGACAATATCTACCAGATGCTTTAACAAAGTTATGCAGGTTTGAAGATCCTTGAAACATGTTATCTGTTGGTCTTTTTGCTGTAAACATTTCCAATAAGAGAATGCCATAGCTGTACGCATTGCCTCGTGTCCATAACATATTGTGCTTTAATCCATAATTAAATTGATCACAAACGCTAGCTAGTTAAGTTTTCAAACAATTAACTTACAAAGCTAAAGATGGGGATGTCTTCAGCTTTCAAAAGAGACCTTTTGAGACTAAATCAGAGTTGATTTGGTTGGTCAAAAGTCTAATTTTCTCTGCTGTTCAAACGGCTTGGTAGAAAAATCTGGAATTTTGACACAATCATTCTGAAAAATTCACAAACATCCTCCAATTGGACTCACTCCAAAATTCATCCATTTGTTCACTTTATGCTAAAGAGGGAGTTGCATGTCCTACATTGAAAATACATAACAAAGTATCAAAATTCTACCAAAATTAACAATAAAATATAACTAAGAATATGATATAATATTGACTCATCAACTACAATGAAACATTTGCACCAGTTTTGAACTTTGATAGCTTTGGCTGCACAAAAAAGGATGGAGTTTGTTCTAGCTAGATGTGAAGTTTGCTTTCCTTAATGAAAGAAGAGGTGTTCCGCCATCGCCTCAATTACATCAAACTTTGATACCATTCTCTTTGTCTCTTCGAGATGTATGATTTTCGTTTTGAATCACTCAATTTCGTTGAGTATTGAGGAAGTTATGAACGTTTAAAGTTTACCCAATTTCCGGTGAGTTTTCCAATTTTTCCGCGGACCAGTCACCTTTCAGGATATTTTCCGACCATCTCCGGCAATCATTGGGCTTCCAAATAGGTATAATCTTATTATACACTTTTCTATCTTCATTTTGATATATTATGAGTCGAATTTGGTTAAGAAACGATTGAGTTACGAAGTTTTGAAAATTGCCCAAACTTCCGGCTAAGAGCTCCGAGACACTTAACGAAGTTTTTAACGGAATGACCAAAATCATGGATGGTGGACAATCTCATGGACTACTTCTATTGATTTTAAATCTCAGATGGATGATGCAAATCTCAGGGACTATTTTGAATAAAAAGCCAAAAATAAAATAAAAAAAAAGCAATAAACTATACCATGGAACGCTTCCCATTTTCAACCAGGGATAAACCTCTCAACATAGAGCAGGAATTCCAACATAGGTTTGAAATTTAATGAATACTTTCCACAATAGGTTTGAAATTTAATGAATACTTTCCACAACTTTGTTTTTTAATTTTAATTTTTAATTCTTTCAGAGTTTGCGTCCTGTAATGTTTGGAAAAGCTAGAATGTCATTGTTCAAGCATAATTCGATGCAAATAAGTTTGTTTGGCAAGCATTGATCAACTAGCCATTTGTACTGCATTTTTTTATCTAACAAATACAAGAACGCTTTCACATAACATCAATACTATTACATGCTATACCACATATTAACAATAAGCTTCTATCCACATATACCATTTGCTCGAAGTTGGTTTCTGATCCGACACATATGTGCCACAGCATCACAGATGTTCAATCTTTCTCTAGGCAACTCCGCTGAGCAAGCAACACCAATTTCTAAAACAGAGATTAAACTTTCTATGATTAGGACGTGATTCCTTGCCCTCCCCTCATTAGGATGATTGCTCTCTTGAACAAGAACGGGATCCAAAACCTCTTCCACTTGCTCAGGCAGAGCTGCCTTCACAAAGCTATAAAGGTTTGAAGTTTCCTGAAACATCTCATCCGTCGGTCTTTTTCCTGTAAATATTTCCAACAGGAGGATACCAAAGCTGTACACATCACCTTGTGTCCACACTTCATGTCCCATGCCATATTCTGCATTCCACAATTCAGAACATTAGATTCTAATTTTCTAGTGACATGTTAAAAGCTCATTTCATGTTTGAAAATTTTAAAATAAATACTGCACAATTTTAAAATACTAGCTACGAAAAAAATAAACTACCAAGTGTATTTACCTGGAGGAGCATAACCAATGGTTCCCTTGATCCCTAAAGAACTTGATTGATTTCCCGAAGAATTTTCAGCAGCTTTTGGTAGGAACCTCACCAACCCGAAGTCACCTACATGTGCAACCATGTCCTCATTGAGAGAATATTGTTGGGTTTGAGGTCGCAATGAACTACTGGCGTCTCACAATGATGATGGAGATAATCCAATGCCATAGCAACATCAATAACAATATTCAACCTCTGAGAAATTGTTAAGCTACTTGGCCTCTCATGTGTCTCACCAATTGTATGAATTGGATACAGCCATTCCTCTAGGCTCCCGTTAACCATGAACTCGTAAATTAAGGCTTTGAAGTTGTGGCCGCGATAATCAATACCAGAACATGCTGAGAGTACCTTGACAAGATTACGGTGTCTAATACTTTTGAAAGCCTCGCACTCAGCAATAAAACTTTTGTAAGCTCCACGACGAACGAGGTTGAGTACGTTGATGGCAACCGTAGTTTCATCTTGATCAAGTACTTTTATAAACGGACCCAAAACTGCCCATACCGACCAAGTTGGTTGAGGAGAATCCATTTGTTGCTTTTAGAAGACTTTTGTAAGACACCTGGGGAAATTTGTCCAAATCACTTGAAGCGCGATGCTTTTTGTACCTCTGTGAGCAATAAAGGTACAAAAAGGTTAGTGCAAAAATGACTCCAAGAATCCCACAAACGAGGGAGAGAACCAATTTCATGGTTAAGCTCAATCCTTCATTTTTTGCATGCTGGAGTTTGCACTTTGGCAAATGAAACTCAGGTATGCCCTCACAAAGCTTACTATTTCCTTCAACTGATGTCGCCGTTGCATTCTTGAACACTCCTTTGATCGGCACCATGCCCTCAAAATTATTATAAGATAGATTCAGAGATTGCAAAAGTTCAAAACTCTCTAAGAATACTGGAATGGTGCCTGACAAGTTGTTGTGAGAAAGAAACAATTCTGAAAGACCTCTTAGTGAACTCAAAGTTGATGGAATCGTCCCATGGAAGAAATTTCCATGCATGTATAGGTACTCTAATGTTATACAGCTCGCAAGACTTGCTGGAATTTCACCTAGTAACATGTTTTCAGAAATATCTAAATACTGAAGATTTATTAAAATTCCTATGTTCTTTGGCAGGGAGCCTATAAAATGATTTTGAGGTAAACTCAATGTATACAAGTTCAACAGACCAACGATTTCTTGTGATATGATCCCGCTAAAATTGTTAGCACCAAGGGATAAGATCCTCAAATTCTGACACTCAATTAAACTCTCCATATTGCCTTGAAGTTTGTCGCCTTCTAGGTGTAACTCATTTAATTGACTTAAATTTCCGAAAGAGGATGGAAGATTGCTAGAGAGAGAGTTCCTATCCAAATTTAATAGACATAACTTGTGAAGCTTTCCTACACCAGGGGGAATGTGACCTGAAAATTGGTTCTCAGACATCCACAAAAGCTCTAAGTTAGCCAGATTTGCAATCTCATTTGGGATACTTCCTAATATTTTATTTTGAGCAACATGGAAATATCGAAAAGAAGAAGACAGGTTTCCTATGCATTGAGGTAACCTTCCCCCCAAAATTGTTGGCAAACATTTGGATAAATTCTAAATGGGTGGCATTGCTCAAATCGCAGAGAAAGGTCAAGTCATCAATTCCCCCACTTCCGAGATGATTGTCAGCAAGGATTAACCACTCAAGCTTATGCAAATTCGTCAAAGGAGGGACCTTTCCATGCAATTGGTTACCTGCCATCTCAAATTCAATTAGATTTGACGCATTAGATAAGGAAACAGGAATAGATCCACTGAATTGGTTATGGGTAATGGAAAATGTTTGGAGACTCGGAAAGACCATACCTAAGTTTGCGGGCAGACTCCCTTGGATTTCGTTGGATTCCATAGAAAGGAGTGTGAGAGAAGAGAGATTAAAGATTGAGGGAGGAAGCATACCCGAAAAGCTATTTCCACCAAAAGCAAGAAAGCTAAGATTGGTCATTTGGCCAAAAATATTGGGGACAGTGCCACTTAAATTATTAGTAGATGCGGAGAACATTTCAAGAGATGATAAATTGCCAAAAGAAGTAGGGACTCCCCCTGTAACGTGGTTTGAGTGGATGGAAAAATATTTTA